GATATCAGTCATTTCGTTAATCCACCTGTCCATCGCACCTGAGGAGCAGTGCACTTTAATGGTATCCAGCAGCGTATAGTACAGCCAATATATTCATATCCACAATTCCCATCTCACCTTTACTTTTCGGCTTTCCGTCAAAGCCGTCGATACCAGACGCTCTGGCCAACTCTCTCTGTGCGAATTCCCAGTCTATAACTTCATCTGATAGATCAGCATTGTGTTGTCCGTTCGAACTGTCCAACGGGTTATGAAAGACGTACAGCTGGTAGGATCCTAAAAACCAAAAGCAAAGGAAATGAAAGCAGCAATATCCACGAAAACGTACGATTGGCCCGGTAGGTTTACAACTGGATGTATCATTTGATTTCGCTTGCTTTAATTTTGGAACTTTCTTTACCAAACACTTTAATGAAGCCGGTTACATACTATTTCTTTAGGGAGAGTATATGATAATGTCATTTTGTTTGAATCGGTATAGATCTGTAGACCGTTTGCTGGAAATACACCCTTTCAGTCGTGCGTAGGGCCATTTTTTGTTTTTATCTTGATCTGCTGAAATTTTAGATGTGAATTCTGTATGGGTCCGCAAAATATTTTCTTATATCCAAATATTGGCCGCAGTGGGTGTGGGGGAGCTGAAACTCAATAGAAAATCCGAATACTTTGTTAATCCATAACTCACGGTCGGTTTTGGCCTAACGTGACGGCTCCAAATCTCAGATAAATCAGTCATCCAACACTTTCCGTGGGAGTACGAAAACACGTTTTGAATTTTCGCTTAGGGGAAAATGAATCTGGAAATCTGATAATATGCTTTGTCGACTTGCTGCACACCGTGTGTCGTGCTGTTTAGGCTACCCAAACGAAGCACCAGAAATCGGTTGCGTTGGCTACTACCGAGTTTCTCAGATGACGCAAAAAAAAAACTAAACCCATTCACTTCCGGAGTGCCTTTCCGGATAGGCCGAAGAAGAAGTGAGTCTTTCTGAAAAAATAATTGTCCTGTGTCTCAAAAGAGTGAAAAGTACTTCATCTACGGAGAAAGTTTACAAGGGAGAGGAAGAAATGCATAACCAATTTAAGAAAATTCAAAGCTGCAATGGGCTTTCTATAAGGAGGGGTCTCAAAGTTCTCCGTATATTTGTATGCTTGATCGTAAAGATGAGTGAAAACGGAAATCAGCATTGGATTTTGTCAGTTTCTGTTCATTGTTGCGGATCACACAGAGGTAGAACGAGCTGAATTTAATCAAAAAGAGGAAATTCATTAAGTGATTAAGTTCGGAGTTTGGTGTGCAACAATGTACTAATAGCCACATGATCTAGAATATCTCAAAAGGCAAAGGAAAATGGAGAGGTGTAAAATAGTGCTTGAAGGCTAAGTAAATTAGGCAAAAAGCTTGAGTTATGTGTATGGTCACATAAAAACCTGACCGAACAAAGGGATGAGAACAAGGGGTGGAAAATTCGATAAAAGCAACCATAATACTTGTGTTATCCCCTCCGCGGGCTAGACCGACGCAGTGAAACGACAGTCAATAATTTCTCACTTCGATCCCAACGCCTGAATGAGTTTCATTTATCCGCCGTAAAGAATGATTCCTTTTTCATACTTCTTGTGCATTTAGCTACACCCATGACTGCCGGAGTAAAGGATAGCAATCGCTGAATTTGTAGACAGTAGCTTACTGTAGATGAGTCTTACGAAGTAGGTACTTCACTTCAGCACGCCAGGGATTCCTACTCTGGA